GAACATTGTTAGAGAGATGAATATGAATATGCCAAAGTACCTTGTTAAATCCCAACAATGCATCATTTAAATCAATCTACTCCAATATCACAATCTTGCTCTAATACAACTTGTTATAAACCAGAAATCACTTTGTTGAAAGCGAAACAACTATGATACCAATTTTTATGAAAAGAAGAGTCGAATATGACACAATATAAAGTATATGATCGCACAAAGAAAATAAGATTAAAAGTGAGAAATAGATTGGCAGATGAATCAAATATTTTATTAAACAACCAATGGAGAAAATAATATTATTACTGCAATCTCAGCAATTTTCAAACTGAATGAAGAGTCTACAATTTATAGGTGACATGTCAAAACCCTAGAAATAACCTAAAAGATGAAAACTATGTCAAAATATGCGTGAACTGACAAAAGAAGAAAAACTCGCACGGCGCCGTCACTCGAGCGTCGTTTAGCGCTAGGCAAGCCACTGCCCTATTGCTCGAGTAAGAGCTCGGTGATAGGTAGGCAACAACTTCCTACTTCAAAAGTTCGCTTACTGCTCAAACGGCCAGCTTGCGAAAATGAGATGACTTTTCTTTTCGATCCATAATTTTGATCTCTATAAGACCACTACTCCAAATCGTATATCCCTATACCAAATTTGGGTCGTAAACCTAAAAATAGAAATGGGTCTATCCTCAAACTTGTTGAAAAAGTGTATATAGAAATTTCTTTCTATAATTTGAAGATTAGAAGTGTGAGTGTTAAATAAAATGCATTATTACATTTAAAACAAAAGGTGAAAGTTTTGAATCAAAGATGTCACGTATTTATTTACGTGTTATATTTCAAGTAACGTCATATGACATTTTAATATCAATTTTAAAACTTTAAAAGTTACACCATGATGGTCAATCTAAAATGTAATAGATGGTGCTAAACTGCATGACCATATCACTTGTGAGAGTGATTAGAACATTGACATGCTATGTCACATGTAAAATATCAAATATAAAAACTTCAAAGTTAGAAATCATAAGACTTGCATGCAAAATAATTTTCTATATGAGCAATTAGCCCCTGTTTGACAACATTTCTTCCAAAACTCTTCCCCCTCCCCCCCCCCCCCCCACCGCCACTTTCTCTCCCCCCCCCCCCCCCCCCACAACAGCACATTTTCACAATAAAATATTCTTCATATAAATCCAAAACTTTTTTCTACTTTTTAACCCCACATTCTCCAAAATTTTACTATTTCAAAACTAATTATACACAAAAAAAAATGGTTTTCAAAAGGGGTTAAGTTATTATTATATTGAAAAAACCAAAACAACTAAAAGCCTAGAATCCATAGATATAGGAAAAAAATAAAAAGGCTACGTAATAAATAAAAAGTGCCATCACCATAAAAAAGGAGTTGTAAAAGATGAAATTGGAAATGTCACATATTCAATCATGTCTCGTGTTGCATGTTCGTGTGAAACTCACGAGCATACAAAATCATTGGCAAGTAATAGATTTGAGTGAGTTTCTAGCATCATCACACAGGGAATAAATTCCGATTCAAGTTTAGTAGTTATGTACGGAATTTCAATTATGTAAACAAAAGAGAATTTGATTTTATGATTATTCTAAATTAATCTAAGAAAATGATAAAATTAGGATTTTTATCAAATACAAATGATTGTATTGGATTTAAAATCCTCCTATTGCTATCTATTTTAATTATTGATTTATTATCTAATTCCATTTGTGCATTCTCGACAATCGATAAAGTTGTGACATAAATTTTTATTTTCAAGACAAATTAAATCTATTATAACCATGACCCAAATCTATTCCTAGATCAAATTCGAATGTTTAGAACCTATTAATATGATTGCACACGTGATAAATGTTATTCCTAACATATATTGCACATATGTTGATTTTGTCGTATTCTAAACTTATTGTAAGTCTTTTAATACTAGAACAAGTAACTAATTATCTAATTGGTCGTCAAACAATTAAATAATGCAATGTGTATGCAAAATTAATCAAGAAACGTAACAAATACTAAATCACTAGTCTTGAATTAGAAATAAATAACAAATAGGACTAATCTTCATCCAATATAAAAGTGAATCTAGTCTAACATATTAATATATAGATTACAAGAAGCGTATTAGAAAAATATCACCCAGATCGTGAAATAATTCAAAGATGTTGATCTTCAAGTCTAAGGTTGAAATCTTTAAAATCTTGATGTAATTGAACTACAATTCTTTGTTAGGGCTTGATCTCCTCTCTCAAAATATAGTAACTAACTTATTTTCTTGATGAATTTGATGATACTATTGCGTATGAAGAGGCAAGAGTATAAGAGCCAGAAAATAGGTCAAAATAATGTACAATATAAGTTGCAAAATAGTTTGAATCGCGAAAAAAAAAACTGCTAATTCATCTACAGAAATAGCCCTCGTGTGTGCACGAGCAAAACTACCATACGCGCATCGTTGAGCCAAGTGGCTCTTGGGTTGGAAAAGCAATGTTCCCACGCGTGAGTTTGCGAGGTGTCGTCTCTAAACAGTTTTTGATATTTTGTAATAATTTTCCTTCCCGATATTCGATTGGATGATTCAAAGTACGTTGGAAGGATAACTTAAGGAGCTATAATTCTACTAGAAATACAATTTTTCCAATTCAAATGTTTGAGAATTAAAAAAGGGTCTCAAGTTGAGGCTAAAAATTCGTAGATAACATCTGTTGGAAATTGATTTATAAAAGTACTTTAACTATATTTCACTTCATTTGACCTCCAATTGCATTCAATTGATCATATGTGATCTTCAATCATCATTTTATGCTTTGAATCAACTATTGAACATTTACACTTTGATTTTCAAATTTTGTATTTCTTTCGTTTTTACCCATTTTTGTTACTTTCTTCCAATTTCACCAATTTGCATTGAGTTCAACCTAATATATATAATTAATGGCCTAGGTTAGTGTACAAAATACACTTATCAAACACCCTCCAAATTTGATCATTTGTTTGTCCTCAAACAAAACTATATCTTAACTTAATCAAAAATTGTAAAAACACATGGTTAGATAATTTGTTTTTGGTCTCAGAATTAGAATATATGTATTAAGACTATGAATTGCTACAAAATTACAATGTTAAAATTAATTTCTAGTTTTTCAATGCAAAACCGATGTTTTTGTATGTGTGAAAATTCATGTCATGCATCATAAATTCATAAAGTGATTCAAATTCTGACCCTCAATAATCAAACATATCATTTTTCCTTCCGTATGATTTACATCCCCCAAACTTATTTATTTAACTCTCTCAAGGTGTGATCTAAGATTGAATTTTTGTATAATACTGAATTCTCACTAACTCTAGTTTAGTTAGATCTTACTAATTACAGTTCAATATATTAACAAATACGAATTTTGTATTTTTTATCGCTTCAACCTCAAAAAATCAACTAAGTTAATAACCCCTTGTCAAAAGTCTAATTCTCTCAAATAAGTGTTTGGGACTTATCAAAGCATGTAACAATTTATTTTTTTATATATTTTTCTTTTCCAACATATTATGTGTAGACTTATCTTCATTAAATTTTCTAAATGACCGATATAACGAGCTTTTGATCGATGACTCTCAACTCAAATGACTTTTGGGCACTGAATTTTAACTACCATGCATGTTTAATCACTAGAGACATAAAGGCTACAAAGGTACCTTTCACAATGAGACACATTTTTTCTTTTTCTTTTTTTATCATTTTTATGCAATAATTAGTGTAGTGCCCCTTATTAAACACTCATTCTCAAAAAATGACACCTAACTTAAGATTTTTACCTTATTTTCATCTTATTTGCCTTAGACAATCCACATAATATTTAGCACACATAGAATTCACATTTATTTTAATGTCTCCCTACTATACAGTTCAATCACTCCCAAACTATTTTAAAATTTGTTTAAAGATGTATAATTTAGTAGTTATTTGGATTTAGCATCTAAGGTCCATAATACTTTTTTCTTTGTCAACCTATTCAAATTTTGAAATTATTCTTTCATGATGCAAAACAAAACATAACCTTTGTGCCAAAAAATATCAAGTTTCATATAAATAAGCATAAATCAATCATAACGTGCAACTTTTTCACAATTTATAGCCTAACATATGGTTTCAAATACATTCATCATAGTAAACAAATTTATCTAACTCACACAAGCACACAAAAATAACAATAAAGCTGAAAGTAAAATTTTTTTTTAATGTTTTTGCACTCGAACAAACGCACAAAACAATAAAAATAAATAAATAACTCAATATGTTTTCACCCCAAACTTGTAATAGACATTGCTCTCAATGTCTAAAAACATAACAAGTAATATACAAAAATTAAGGGCAAAGAAGAGAACTAAGTATTCCTCTAGTATAAACCTATAAGTGATGGACAGATTGGCATGAAAGTATTGGATCACTTGCTATGTATCTTCCCTTATCCAGTCATATTCCTTCAAAATAATTAGAAAATCCATGATCATATAGAACACTTTATAATAAGCTCAAACATACGCTAAAGGAAAATATGGGGATGAAGATACCCTCTACTGCTAAAAGCAATAAAAATTATTAATCATATATCTAAAATGCAAAATAAATAAAAGGGAATAAAATTGGGTTTCCTCTCAATAAGTGCTTATTTATAGTCATTGGCTTGACTTTGATGTTTTGGCTATTCGTGGTGGCTTGAAATAGTGTTTTCAGCCTTGCATCATATGTACTGGCAGTTTCATCTTTAAACCTCCAAATTATAAAAGTCCCATTGTTGTCTAGCCTAAAAATTCCACCTTCTTCCTTCATGTTCTTATTGCTTCCCCAATTGTCAATCTTTCGACATTTCTTAATGTCAAGTAATTGCTTGAGTGGGTCATTCACTGTGAAGTTTTGTTATTTTTCTTCTATCCTTAATAATAATTTACCTTTCTCAAAATTCATTAATACTCATGCAATTGTTAAGAACATTCTCTCCAAAATTAATGGAATGTGTTGAGCATCTATATCATGGATGATGAAATCGGCAAGAAAGAAATTATTTCCAACTTTGATGAGCATATCCTCTATCACTCCATAAGGATGTTTGAGTGTCCTGTTAGCCAGTTGTAGGATTATTGACGTTGCTTTTCGATCATCCAATCTCAATTTTCTATAGATAGACAGTGGCATCAAATTAATACTTGATCTAGAATCAATTAAAGAATTTAAATCATGTGAATTTTCCATAGAGCAAGGTACAGTGAAACTCACTAGATCTTTTAGCTTAAGAGGGAGCTTATGTTGTATGATTGCACTGAACTCTTCAATTAATGCTATTGTTTCATCTTCTGGCATATATCTCTACTTAGTTAACATCTCCCTAAAAAACTTAGCATAATTTGGAATTTGTAGAATAGGATCAATAAAATGAATGTTGATATGAAGTTTTCTGAGAGCATTCAAAAATTTCTTGAATTTTTTGTCTAGTTTATTATTTTGCAACCTTTGAGGGAATGGGATTGGAGGTGCATATTATTGACAGGAACAGTCCCTTTAATTTGTGGACTATGTGAGTATTTTTCTTTATTAATTTTTCTTGAGTCTTTAGATTGAACCACTTGTTCCTGGCTAGTGGTAGGTACCCAATTCTCCTCTATCCATTTCTTCTTCACCATGATTTCTAACAGCTGAACTTCAATTTTTGTTGTAATGGCCTAGACTTGTTCTTTTTTAGGTTGCCTTTGAAGCCTTTAAGGGAATGAAATAGGCAGTACATAAACTCAAATAGGAATAGAAGGCTTGATTAATGGTCTAGTATAATTCACAGCTTCAATTGTTAATACTTGTTCTGGTGGGTTCCTTTCTGCGTCACTTAGCGGGTATTTTATGTTCTATTAGCCAATGCAGTTTTAACTAACCCATGTAATTTTTCAAATTTTGTGTACAGACTTGTTGGTTTTGGATTACAACCTCAGTCTTAGTGATGTACTTAGCAAGTAGATCCTCCCAAGATGACTTCTTTTCCTATTGCTGCTAAAATTCTTTTGGGTTACTCTAAATTTGACATTCCTATCCCTGATTATTAGTCCATGAAAAGTTAGAATAATTGCTCCGACTTGAATTATAAGTGTTAGAATAAGGATTGTTCTGCTACCTATGAAAGTTCTGTGCATAACTAACCTTCTCAACTGATAAACATCCGTGAAAGCTAAACGACAACTTTTAGTTATATGATCCGCTCCATAGCCCCCACAGCTAGGTGCTAGTTGGTGCACCATGCTCACAGTCTAAATTAGTTTGTCCAACTTTTTTATTTGTACTTCCAACTGAGTTGCCATTGTTGTTACTGTATCTACGTTGTGAATCCCTGATATTTTCTTTAGCACTTCCTTGTCTATATGCCACATGGATTGATTTTCTACAATTCTCTAAAAAAAAGCTCTAAGGTATTGTCTAATGGAATATCCAATATTGACCCTCCTGCTGAAACATTGGCTTTGCTGCGGAATTCAGGTCTCATGCATGAAAAGAATATGCAAATCTTAGAGTCTTTAGGAATGTTCAGAGTAGGGCACTTCCTGAAGTAGTAGCTGAATCCTTCCCATACTTCTAGATAGCTCTCGGGGTCCTTTTGCTTGAATAAGTGAACTTCATTTCTGATACGATGGACTTAAGAATGCGAAAAGAATTAAAAAGTGAATTTATATACCAAGTCAGTCCATGAAAAGATGCTCCCAAGAATTAGAGAATTTAGCCATTCTCGTATGCCTTCCTTTAAAGTGTGAGAGAATAGGCGTGGTTGAAAGGCGTCAAAAGATATGCCTTTGTCACTGATCATATCACAAAGCGTTATGAAGACCTGAACATATTCATGAGGATTTTCAGTTGATCTTTTAGAGAACTCGTTGTCCTGAAGATTTTGAAACAAATTGATGACATCTATTCAATTGTGGGAGTTGTCCTGTACAAAATGTGGATATATTATAGTTGATTGCACAGGAGCTGTGACAAGATTCACATAATCCCTTAGGTGCTTTTCCATGGTTGGTAGTTGCTCTTGACGAGCCTTGTTGGTTTGACGAAGTTGGTGGTAACTGAATTTAATTTTAACTTCGATTTTTTGTCATTTTCCTAGTTTCTTTCTATTCCCTTCTTCATTGTCTGATAATTCTTTTGATTTTAGGATCCAGTGTTAGGAGCTTGATTTCTCCATAATCTTGCATAAACTGCCAAAAATAAGAAAAAAGAAAAAGAAGATTATGTATGTAATTAATAGTTTAAAATAATGTAAAAGAAATTCAAATCTTATAAAAAACTAGTAAACTCAAATTAAATACTTTATTCCCCGGTAATAGTACCAAAAACTTGTTCGTATGAAACTCACAAGCATATAGAATCATCGATGTCAATGAAATTATTTTCTTTTGATTTAAAGCACTGCAAGTGTACGGTTCGCAACGAATAATAAAGTGGATTTTTAGAGTCCGAATATCGTCCCACAGAGATTGATTAGTTCAATTATATTTATCTCGGCCTTAACCGAATCCAAATGATCAAGTATGAGTTTTTATCCTAAGAAATCCTAAATCTAAGTTGAAGTACCAATATTATAAATTGGATGTTATGACATGCAACACAACGTTTAAATTAACTAAAATGTAATTTGATGTTTGGGACTCAGGTTAAATGTATTCAATGAATGTGAGATATACTAGGATCACGAATTCCCAAGTAATGTTCCATTTAACCTTAATTCCACATTTTGACAACACAATGACATTTTGAAGAATCAATACTCCTAAATCTATCCAACCCTCTCTCTCGAGATAAATTGAACCTATTCTCATACACCACCAACATATATCTCTGTGACGGATTCAAATATACGAGAATGCATATAGTTTTATGAGTACTTAGATATTCACGCAAAGCATAAGGGTATATTTCTATCCCCTATCAAACCCTACGATGACTTATACCTTGTCGAATTTATTCCTCTTCTTTCGAATAGATGAAACAAACCACCAAAACTCACACAATTACGAGCACATAATCATGGAAGCAATTAAATGCATACAAATCATTCAAAACAATAAATACGTATTTTAATGTCAAAATACGAAACAAATAATTAAATATCACATTACAAGGTTCATCGATCTCTTAGTATAGATTTTTCTAGCCTAACATGATGGGAAGAAGAACACAACAATAAAAATCAAGAAAAGAAGTCACCCTATTGAAATTCTTGAAGTGGGATCTTGAATCTTGGATTGAATCTTCTTGTTCTTCCTTCTTCTTTGTCTTCAAATCCTTCCAAAATAATGTATAATGTTTTTGGACGTCCCTGGGGCTTTAAAAAACTCTTCAAGATTTGTTTCTATAAGAATTTCAATCAAAAAAGGAAATCATATTTTTTCGCCGCGATTGGCCTAGGCGAAAACTCGAATAGTTGCTCAGGCCAAGAATTTTTTCTCGGTAATTAAAATATCATGTTGGGCGATCACCCTTACTGGACTATAGCCCAAGCAAAATTTCTTCCATATATTCCATTTTAGCCCCCTGTAGTCGATTTTTTATTCTTTCAAGTCCTTTCTCTTGCATTTTAAACACTTTGACTTTTAGTTGCATCCAATTGAACCTACAACATCTTTAATCTTCATTTTGTGGTCCGAATCAACTATTGAAATGTTGCAACTTAGTCTTCATACTTTAGATTTTCTTCCTTTTTGGTTCTTTTTCGTTTCTTTTCTCTTGAATTCCACCACATTCATTAATATCGTCCTACAAAACATAATTACATAGAAATAAGCCATAATTCAAACTCTTTGATCATAATTAATTCATGTTTGTAAACTAAATAAGTGTGTAAAAATACACTTACCAGTCGACAAGTAATAGATTTGAGAGAGTTACGAATATCGTCCCACAGGGAACAAATTTCTTTTCAAGTTTACTAATTATGTATGGAATTCGAATTATGTAAACAAAAGAGAATTTGATTTTATGATTATTCTAAATTAAAGGGGCAAAATTAGGGTTTTTTTTTTAATCAATTATGAATGATTGTATTGGATGCCACCAATTGTCTTATATTTGAATTGTTGATTTATAATCTAGTTTTGTTCATGCATTCATGACAATCAATAATGTTACAATATATAATTTTTTTCCAAGACAAATTAAATCTATAATAACCACGGCCTACATCTATTCCTAGCCGAAATTCGAATGATTAGAATGCATTAAAATATAGATTATCTATATGATTGTACACATAATAAATATTATTCCTAACATATATTGCAAAAATATGTTAATTTTGTCGTATTCTAAATTTATTGTCAATCTCCCAATAGTACATCAAGTAACTAATTATTTAATTGATGGCCAAACATTTAAATAATGCAATGGGTATGTATAATTAATCAAGAAATGTAGGAAATATTTTAGAACTAAATAATAAATAGGGTTCATTTTTATCCAATACAAAAGTGAATCTAGCCTTGAATACTAATATATAAATTGTAAGAAGAATTACAGAAAAGTATCACTCGGATATTGAAATAATTCAAAGGATGTTGATCTTCAAGTCTAAGGTTGAAATATTCAGATTCTTAATGTAATTGAACTCCAATTCCTTGCTAGCGCTTGATCTTCTCTCTCAAAATATAGTAATTGACCCTATATTTTTGATGAGTTTGATGATACTATTGCGTTTGAAGAGGTAAAAGAGAGGTTTTTCCATGCGTAGCCCAAGTTTTGTATTTGTAACAGCCAGAAAATAGGTCAAAATCAAGTCCAAAAGAGTTTAAATTGTGAAAGAAAACTACTGATTCATTTGCGCCCTATGCGTGCACGGGCAAAACAACTGCGAGCTCGCCGGTTTGCAAGGTGTTGTCCTTGTGTAGTTTTCGATATTTTGGTCATTAAATTTTTCCTGATATCCGATTGAAGTAATTTAAAGTGCATTGGAAAGATAACTTAAGGGGCTACAATTCTATAAGAAATACAATTTTTCCAATTTGAATGTTTGCTAATCGAAAGATGGGTCTCAATTTGCTGCTAAAAATTCGGAGTATAACTTGGAAATTGATTTGTAAAAGTATTTCATCTATATTTCACTCATTTGACCTCCAATTACATCCAATTGATCATAAGTGATATTCAATCATCATTTTATGGTCTGAATCGAATGTTTACACTTTGATCTCCAAACTTTAGATTTGTTTCATTTTTTACCCATTTTTCATTCCCTTATTCCAATTCCGCGAATTTGCATTGAGTTCAATATAACAAACATAAATAATACATAATTAAAATATAACTTATCCAAATCATTTACTACAATTTAA